GTGGGTAGGGGGTAGTAGAATACTCCCACAGTATTCCCTGCTTGTCGTAAGAGGCGACTAAAAGGGAGGGTATGAATGGTGTGTGTATGTTCTGTGTGGCTAGTTCTCTCTTTGATTCTTTTTGTCATTCTTTTTCTATTCTTTCTTTTCTCTTACTTTCTTACTTTCCTCTTCTTTCTTCTGGGCTTGTGCCTACGCATAAAAAATAAATATGGCTGGTACAAACTCAGAAATTATACCGTGTGGGAGGGAAACCCACACGACGGCGGTGCTTGATGGTGTTAGGACAGGCCATCCATCGTTTACATCATGCTACTGTCAGGAGTCTGTGGTAGGCAACCCGGCCCAGACTCTGGTTAATGCGTCGGGAGGTTGTTCACGGGTAGGCAATCTGGCCCGTGGATTGACTGCTGCTATAGGAAGTCGATGACGCTCCTTGGAGGAGGGGCCAAAGTGCACAATAAGATGCATGGAAGAGCTGGAAACTGATTCCATACCAGTCAGGTCACATAAGAGGGCTAGGCCAATATTTTATACATCATCATCAGAGGAGGAGGTGATTGATCTTACGAGAATGGATGGAGTCATACAGGAGGGACCATCGATTTTTAGTATGGAAACTGGGAGACTGATCGAGATTATAATGGACAACATTGCTGAGGCCGAGAATAAAAGGAAGACATGCGGCAATATCAAGGGTGAGATCTTTGGTAAGATGAAGAATTGCCATTTAGAAGTAATGGAAATGGCCAGGGAGTTGCAGGCTCGCAACAGGGTAAAATATCGCCCTAATATATAAGAGTCCATGGAGCAGTTAAGGGCGGAGGCAAAAGCCACTAATAATCGGCTAAAACAGTTGGAAGAAGAATGTATGCGCCTTAGGCGGGAGTTGAGGCGTAAGGAGGTACTCCTGGAAAAGGCATCGAAAGGGGAAGTTAAAACCATTAATGTCCCAACTAGGGCAACAACTGTTACAGCAAATCAGGCTCCGTCTTCAGTAAGTGAGAGACTAGTCGCTGCCAGGAAGGAGGATGATCCTGATGGCAGGACGATAGGGAGGGTATTAACTGAGCTCTCAAAATCAGTGCTCAGATTACAAAACGAGCTTAATGAAATAAAGATGGGACAGAGTTCTTATGCACAGGTTGCAGCACGATCGCGGGTATCTCCCTCACCGTTGATACCGACGCCTCTGACCACTGTCCCGGACGGGGATGGGTTTATAGAGGTAAAGAGAAGGAGTAGGATAGATGTGCCTGCTGGGAGGACTTTGCCTTCACGGATGGATGTTGGGAGGGTTGGCTCTCCTGTTTGTCCTGGTGTTGGGGGGGGGGGTCTTGTTGTGGGTATACAAAAAAGCAAGAAGAAGAAGAAGATAAAGAATAAGAAGAGGAATAGGGAGACTGCAGCGGTATCTCTCACGTGTGCGGAAGGGGCTTCTTATTTAGAAGCCGTAAAGAAATTGGAAACGGGAGTAAAAATAGAAGAAATAGGGGCCAAGGGGCTTTCGTATAGGCGTGGCCTGACGGGGTCCTTTGTCTGGCAGGTCCAGGGAAAGGATGCTAATATTAGGGCTGACAGACTTGCACAGGCAATGAAGAGGGCCCTACCGGAAGCAAAGATAGCTAGGCCCCAAAGGACTAGCCCCATAAAACTAGTGGGGATCTATCCGACTACCACCCTGACGGCGATCAGGTGCGGACTACAGGAGGTTAGGGCAGGATTTGACCGTAACCTTATCAGCATGGGGGAGGTTCACTTAGGCAGGGGCAGTCGCTATGAGGTCACAGTCGTGGCCCCATCGGAACTGTGCCAGGCTGTCATTGATAGAGGCAGTATTATTGTGGGATGGAGCCGGGTCCGGGTATTTCCGGTTCGACCTATGCCTCTAAGGTGCCACAGATGTCTGGCGAGAGGTCACGTGGCTGCATCTTGTCCTGCACCGGGTGCCAGGATACGCGTGTGCTTCAAGTGCGGTGAGCCGGGGCACGTAGAAAAAGACTGCGGGGACAAAGCAAAATGCCCGATCTGTGTGGAGGCGGGGCGTTCTCGAATTTCGCACAGGGCTGGGTCTTGGGAGTGTCCGCTGGTACCTCCTATCAAGGGGAGAGACATAATTTTGGGGGGAGTCGCAGGCCGACGGGACAYGTCAGCGTGCGTGAATAACGTTCCGGGAAGTGCGGGCGAGAAAAGKGTTGTACATAGTGCRGGTTCGAGTGTTGGCAACGACATGGAGGTWGAGCAGGTGAATTCTGCCYCTTYATGTAAATAACTAATTACAAAATTACAATGGCCACGGTTATTCAGGTCAATTTAAACCATGCGCGTCGCGCTCAGGACTTGTTGGGCCAGCGGATGAGGGAAATTGGGGCGGATATTGCAATAGTCTCGGAGTTGTGGTGGGTCCCTCCTGGGAATGAGAAGTGGTTCTCATCCCTAGAGGGGTCTCCCCTTTCCGCGATTATTGCGGGCAAAAGCGAAAGAACCTGTAGCCTGGTGCGTCGGGGTTTATTTTTTGTAGCCGTCAAATRGGGGGACWCGCTGGTAGTTTCAGTCTACTTTCCTCCCAGCGAGAATTTAAATATTTTTGGTAGACTCCTTGTAGAGCTCGAAGAGCTCTTAGGCACATTTCCCGCTCTTCCAGCACTAATTGCCGGGGACTTTAATGCCCGGTTTCCCAGATGGGATCCGGAAGGCAGAAGTAATCCCAGGGGTGAGTTGCTCTGTATGTGGGCCAATAGGTTGAACCTCAGCCTGGGTAACCAGGTTGGCCACCCCACGTGCGCTCGACCGCAAGGGTTGAGCGTTGTAGACCTTACGTGGGGATCTCCGGCAGCTAGTGTCCGCTTATCGGATTGGAGAATGGTTGAGGCTGAGTCCCTTTCGGACCATTTATATATCATTTTTAAGTATAGGCATGAGGCTACAGGCTTCCGAATTCTTCGCCCCAGGGACAGAGTTTTTCCTAAGTGGGATACGAGGACTGTGGATGAGGATAGGCTCGCCGCAGCCCTCGTTTCCGGAGAGGGGACACAGGATAATGGTGATAATATACGAGACTTGGTGAAATGGGCGGACAATACCCTACTCACTTCATGCGACATTTCGATGTCAGGGGTGGGGACAACAGTGAACAGGTGTTCTGCTGTACCATGGTGGTCACGGGAAATTGTGGTCCTACGGGGAGCGACTACGGCGGCGAGAAGGCGTTATCTGAGGGCCAGGCGAGGAAATGATATGGGCAGAATCGAAACGTGTCTAGAGGACAGGAGGGAGAAGAGGAGGAATTTAGTTCGGGCCATTAAAACGGCGAAGGCCTTGGCCTGGAAAGAGTTCTTAGCCACAATAGATGAGGATCCATGGGGGAGACCCTACAGACTTGTTATGGGGAAATTGAGGGCTCGAGGTGTTCCCCCCCTGACTGAGGTATTGGATCCTCCTCTTCTGATGAGGATCGTTGAAACGTTGTTTCCGGAAAGCGGGCGATCAGTTGCCCTAAACGTCAACGTAATGGACCCGGAGTAAATAGTTGTCACGATTAAAGAGGTGCGTAGGGCAGCAAAACGGATTGGTCTTGGGAGTGCACCGGGTCCAGATGGGATTCCTGGCCTGGTGGTGGAGAAGGCGGCCATACAATGTGGTAAAGGTCTGGCCAAATGCTTCACCATGCTATTGAGGAGGGGAGTCTTCCCACGGGCATGGAAGAGGGCCAAGCTCGTGTTGTTGAAAAAGAAGAAAGACTGTGATGGTAATTTGCCCAACTCTTACAGGCTGATATGCCTGCTGGATAAGGTGGGGAAGCTTTTTGAAAGAGTTGTTGTATCCAAGGTGATCGAATTTTTAAAAACTGAAAATGTTCTTTCGCCGTGTCAGCATGGTTTTAGGGTGGGTTATTCTACCCTTGGAGCAATTGGGGAAGTGACAAGATATATACAGGAGTGCGCGAGTGGTGGACGAGTGGGCGTTTTTATTTCGTTAGATATATGTAACGCGTTCAACTCGCTTCCCTGGGAAATAGTAATAGCATCAATGGAGGGAAGTGGCTTCCCCACCTATTTGATTAACATTATTAAAGACTATTTTCGCGACCGGCTCTTGTCYTTCATTGGAAGGCAGGGCACAGTCAATAATGTAAGTGTGATGTGTGGGGTCCCACAGGGTTCTGTCCTCGGCCCCACACTTTGGAACATTGCGTACGATCGGGTCCTCCGAGGCGTGCTGCCGGGAGGGTC